CGTGTTTAAACGCAGTAAATATAAGAAACCCATTCTTCAATGCTTTTTTTTTTGCATTCTAGATTTTTATATTAAGTTGCTCAAGCAAGTGGCAAAACATTTAAACTACTTTTCATTGACAGAAACAGTCAGCTCTACTGCCTTTTCTTTTGCATTCAAATCTTTATTATTCTAAGTGATTTGAAGCCATTTGAGCATTTTTAGAGAGAAAAGGAGAGTGCGCGCGGTGATTCACTCACGCTGTTTGTGAAATTGTCTCACAGAAAGTTTTCAAATTAGCTACTTCACAAGTTATTTAATGAAGAAATATGAGTTGTACCTCACCTTCAGCATTATAATTTCCCCCCGTGCCGGACAGAGACAGACGGTGCCTCTGCATGTCATGCCAAATCTCTCACGGCAGCGTCATCAGCTTGAGATCGGCCCTTATAGAGACCGCCGATCAAACTTCCCAAAGTGATTATCGGCCGATAGCGATTGGTAGCCGATCAATCGGAGCACCCCTAGTTATTTCAAACACTCGACTGATGTTATGAAGTTAATTAGGAGAAAAGCGTGTCAATAAATGATATCTTTGTTAGACAACAGGTTTGTAAACAGGCTCATACACATGCAAAACTGTGCTACTGTAGTACATTTTTTTCAAGGCTCAAACAGTTTTTTGTCACACTGTACCGCTCTGACCACATCAGTTCTAGAGTGTAGAAGGAGCTCCTTGTTTAGCTATATATTCCTCCTCAATTTCACGCCTTCCATGTCGCTCCGCACGGTTGCACACAGAAATATGTCAACAACTAGGCTTTATCGTAATTATCACGGGAAGACTGATTCTTATTGTGGGGAGAATTTTTACAGGTATATCGCAAACGATAAGATATTGCCCATCTGTAGTCATGTATACAATCAGGAACTTAAGAGTCTTCACATCAACCCGTAAAAATTAAAGTTAACTTGAAGAAACTGACAAATATATATTACTTAATGTAAAGATACTATTACTACTAATAATGCTTATTATTAAAACTTTTTTTTAAGGAATATTTACAAGAGAAAAATATTTACCAGAATTTATTTAGCAGAAAAATATAAATACACAACACAGTATTTCTGGAAAAAAAATTATAATACTAAATTCATTTATGAAATCGATTCATTAGAGATGCTTTTGATTATTACAATTTAATGAAACCATTCAACTGGAATCCAGAAAAATAATGGAAAATACAGTATTTGGTTAAAAAAAAAAGAAAGAAAAGAAAACCGAATTTGAGAAAAAAAATAAAACCCATTTCGTAAGGCCTTAAAGTAGTTTTTGTCCAACTTTTAATAAATTGCTGTGAATTTCATGATTTCAATTAATTAGACATGCTTTTTGATTTAAAAAAAATAATTTAACCATTAAAAGAGTCTAGAAAAATTGGAGGGGAAAAAAACGGAATCTGATTTTGGATTTCTTAGGGCCCTACTTGTGGAATATTCCAAATATGCACTTTACCACTTATGCTAATAACCAAACAGAATTGCTGCTGTTATGAAGTTAATTAGGAGAAAAAGCATGTCAATAAATGATATCTTTGTTAGACAACAGGTTTGTAAACAGGCTCATACACATGCAAAACTGTGCTACTGTAGTACATTTTTTCAAGGCTCAAACAGTTTTTTGTCACACTGTACCGCTCTGACCACATCAGTTCTAGAGTGTAGAAGGAGCTCCTTGTTTAGCTATATATTCCTCCTCAATTTCACGCCTTCCATGTCGCTCCGCACGGTTGCACACAGAAATATGTCAACAACTAGGCTTTATCGTAATTATCACGGGAAGACTGATTCTTATTGTGGGGAGAATTTTTACAGGTATATCGCAAACGATAAGATATTGCCCATCTGTAGTCATGTATACAATCAGGAACTTAAGAGTCTTCACATCAACCCGTAAAAATTAAAGTTAACTTGAAGAAACTGACAAATATATATTACTTAATGTAAAGATACTATTACTACTAATAATGCTTATTATTAAAACTTTTTTTTAAGGAATATTTACAAGAGAAAAATATTTACCAGAATTTATTTAGCAGAAAAATATAAATACACAACACAGTATTTCTGGAAAAAAAATTATAATACTAAATTCATTTATGAAATCGATTCATTAGAGATGCTTTTGATTATTACAATTTAATGAAACCATTCAACTGGAATCCAGAAAAATAATGGAAAATACAGTATTTGGTTAAAAAAAAAAGAAAGAAAAGAAAACCGAATTTGAGAAAAAAAATAAAACCCATTTCGTAAGGCCTTAAAGTAGTTTTTGTCCAACTTTTAATAAATTGCTGTGAATTTCATGATTTCAATTAATTAGACATGCTTTTTGATTTAAAAAAAATAATTTAACCATTAAAAGAGTCTAGAAAAATTGGAGGGGAAAAAAACGGAATCTGATTTTGGATTTCTTAGGGCCCTACTTGTGGAATATTCCAAATATGCACTTTACCACTTATGCTAATAACCAAACAGAATTGCTGCATCCCAGTTTCTGGATTCCTACTTGTACTATGCTCATTCGGTCTTTCATTCAGATCTTTTTTTTCTGTTATTTAACTCATATATTTGCCTTTAAAATGTGATGGCCAAATATATCAAATGTATATCGTAGAATATTTTTGGAACAATTGTAGCTCTGGGAATGTGCATCACAATTCCTATCAGACTTTGTCTAAAAAAACAAAGTTATCATTGATTGTAAAGTCAAGTGGAACTCATTTGGCTGACTATCTGCTTCCTTCAAACGCATGAGCAAATGCTCTAGTGTCTTTTGAATGGAGAGTGTGTGTGTGTATTTGCACAAAGAGGTTAAAGTATTTCTGGTATGGCTTAGAGGCAGCAGAGAGTAAAGACAGAGAAACATCTAATGCAAATTGCCAGAGAGGCCAGAGTGTGGAAAACACTTTATTTTTGTCAAAGCCATTAAGTAAATGTCCTGTTATTCCTGTGGCTTCTCATGTGACAGGCTGCAGCATTTTTGGGAAGCTCAGATTATTCAAGCCAGTGTCTCTTCCTCATTCTGTTGAGACTGACACTTTTTATTGTGCAACATGTGATAAGATCACACCTATTCACAAGCAGAAACGCGTTCTGTGCTAACTAAAGTATCATGCTGCACCCACGCTGTAGTACGTTTAACCCACAGACATTCATTTAGATCTGAAACCAAATGATTTTTTTCTGAAACGAGAGGTCTGGTGTGTTTGTGAAAGGCCTGCAGGCAGGGTGAGGAAACGTATCTATGAATGACGAGAAGGATCCTCATTCTCTTGTCTGTCACATTCGGTTCTGCCGTCTCAGGTTTCTGACCATCATGGTTTCTGTGGCTTTCACTGGCATGCAGTAGTTTCATCTGTCCTGAGTGTCAGTGATGCCGCATCCTGTTCAAAAGTGGTTCTGCACTATTTTTGTAATTGTTTCATTACCGTGAACTTGCTGTTTTCAGCCTTTCATCAACTTTTCCACTGAGTCAGGGCTTCTCAAAACTCATCTTGGCAGTGTTTAATGTTTTCAGATCAGTTGCAGCCTTTAAACTTGCTGCTCACATGAAATTCATGAACAGAACACTGAAAATGTATGCACCAGTATTTCTATACATTGTATTACTATTTTTTGTCTATTAATTAACATTTACTTGCTATAAGATTAGGATTGGGGTTTAATTTAGGGTTAGTTGTGTGTAATTGTGCATAATTTATTGTTATTACTATAGTAAGTACAAGTAACGTCCAACAAGGACACTGTAAAATAGTGTTACCCAGAAGAAATAAAGAGTTATCCAGAACTTTGTAACTCATTTATTTATTGTAAAAGCAAAGTGAAAAACGTATTTAAAACCAGTTATTAATTCCGCTGACCCATGTAGGGTTGAAGTACATGCCACATGTTTCTGTTTCATTTGAGGTTTGAATGAATGTCATGATGACTTGTGGTTCAGTGAGTGAGTCCGGTTGAGTAACCGCTCTCATTTAGTGAATGATTCAATATTAGGGCTGCTCGATATGGAGGACAAATAAAATGTATTTGATACAGCAGTCACATTTCATTTCAAGTAGATTTAGAGCTGGAAAAAATGATGTCATCCAAATATGAATGTCTGTTTTTATTTCTGGGTAAAGAAAACATCACTCCAAACTACTCAAAGTGTAGAACCAATCATTTACTAAAGTGACATCCGGTAAAATGTATTGTCCAGCATTCAGCAAACAAATTCTGTCATTTACTTGCCCTCATGTCATTACAAACTGTTATGAAACTTTTAGAATTTCTCTTTTAAGAATGACATGATGGTGAGTAGATGACAATTTATTTCATTTTCAAATTTCCCGTTTTGGATCTCTGTAATGACTGCCAAATAGAAATCTAGAGGCAGGATACAATAAACAATTTACACTTCTACAATAACGTCTACAACATCAGGGTAAACAAATGATGGGGAGAATGAAGCAGTATATCAAAATATATATAAATCACAGTATGGCTTGAAGTGAAAATTAAATTGCAAAAAAAATAAACCTGATGTAATTAAAAGCATATATGCACTACAGGTTTGTCAGAAAATTGCCAAAAATAAAAGCTTAATGGTTTAACATTTTTAAAAAAGTAATAAATTAAGATGTAAAATGTTAGTATTGTAATTTTAAAATGCTATTTTTAACAGTCTAATATTATTTTTATTATATTTATATTAATAAATTGCTTATTTTCAGAGTTTTTTTTATTTTTGCTATGCAAATACACTCCCTTATAAAACACCCAGTCATTCTAGAGTTATTAATTCTTTCCAAATGGAGCTATTCAAGTCATCTGGTGAAAATTTCTGTATCTTTTTATTAGTGCTGTCAATATACATGCATGTGTTTGTATTTATATATATATATATTTATATATATATATATATATATATATATATATATATATATATAT